GAAGCAGAGTCCATTTCTTTAAGGGATGTAGGCCCTGAGAAGTTACTCATGCTCTAGTAGATCATCCTTCAATCATGGGAATACATGTAGCAGTAAATGAACTTGGTGGGTTCATTAAAAGACCACAGGAAAGTGGAGAGGGAGAAGTACTGGGGTAGATAGGGAGAAACTGAGGAGAAGGAAATAAGAGGTAGATTTGATTGCACACATCTTATGCACACATGACATTCTCAAACAAAAAAAAATAGTGGAAGGAGAGAACTGAATCCACAAAATTATCATCTGACTTCTACATGTGCCCACAGAGACACCATAAACACACACACACACACACACACACACACACACACACACACACACACTACAATATCTCAAAAGGCAGAGAAAATTCAGGGTGGGAATCAGTGAGTAGAGAGACCAGTGACCAAACATTAGGTAAACCAGTGGGAGGTTGCAGCAAGGATCATAAAAGCTGGCATGGCACTTTTGGGTTGCCATGTAGCCATCATCTTACAGGTGTTTCTTAGTGTGTGTCAGTTCTGTGAGGCATGTCATTTAGGCATTGTGACTATTAATCTCCACTGTTTACTTGACTTAAATTTAGGTGCTCACCTAAGAATCACACTCCTGGGCATGTCTGTGAGGGTGTGCCCAGAGAGGTTCAACTGAGGAGGGAGGACCTATCCAGAATGTGGAATGTACCATTCCTAGAGGTGGAGATCCTGACTGAATAAAAGAGGAGAAAAGGAAGGGCAGCACCAATCACCTCTCTCCAATTGTGCCAACTGGATGAAATGTGAGCTGTCTCCTGATAGACTGTATTCTCCTACTTTAGTCTGAGGACCATTCCTTTTGTCAGGTATTTTGCTAGAGCATTTTCCTACAGTATACTACAGGAATTTCAGGAAATAAAAAATACAATCTTTTGAGAGACATTTCAGTGGGGGCCATGCTCAACTAATTGCAGGCATGGCCGCTCATGCCTCAACAAATTTCCTCAGGCAATTATCGCTGCCTATATTCCCTTTCAGCTCCTCTCTGCTTATAGCTATGCTGTGATTCTCTTCATAGAGCTGCCTTACAGTTCTTTCCATTTAACCCATTCTCTCAGTGATCCTCAAATTTTAGTTTAAAGGATCTCCCAAACCACCTTTGTGTTCAGGGAAAAAAAAATGAAGAAGGGGTTAGAATTGTTGATCAAAATATTGCTGCCCATATCCATAAGCAGAGGTGTACATAGCAAATAATTTGAGGGTCCTATTTACCTATAGTTTTAACAAGATACCCAGGTACTTTTGTTACAAAACATTTTTGACCATTTTTTTTAATTCTTGGCTCTGTGGCTGATGCTATCATGTTTGTTCTGCATTCCCAAAGAGACCACAGGTGCCAAAACCCAAAAGCCATGTAATAGTATGTCTGACAGTGAAGATGTGAAGATGCATACAATCCTCCCTCCCCCATTTTTCACCTTTTTATCCCTTCTCATGTACAACAGAAAATCATAATGGGCAAGGAAAGGCAATGAACAGATGTTTGTTAGAAAAATAAGCCAGGTGTGGTACTGTACACCTGTAATCTCAGTATTTGGGAGGCAGAGAGAAGCAAGTGGATCTTTTCTAGTTAAAGGCCAGCCTGATCTACATATCAAGTTCAGGGCAGGAAGGGCTACACAGTGAGACCCTGTCAAAACAAATAAATACATAAACAAATAATAAATGATAGATAAGTAAATGTAAAAGTCCTCACTCTTGCATGTGCTGGTTATCTCTCTCCCCTTCCTCCTTTCCTTCCTACATTTCTCTCTTCTCCTCTCTCTGTCCCTGTTTTTCTGGGAAACTTAATTAATACACAGTACCAAAGTAAAAGGAGTTTGTATTAGCAAGGGCTCACTGAATGGAAATCCTTAAGAAAACCTCCAATAAGAGACAAGTACAGTTGAAATGTGTACATGAAGGAGAACAATGAAGAATACTTTATCTTATTTTATGTTATAATATATATGCACATAAACACATACTTACATACACACATACTTACTATACACACATAAAATGTACGTAAACATATGTACATGCATATATATACATATTATATATTTCTCAAGAAAAGTTAGGTGTTAGTGATCATTTCAGATTAATGGGTCTAAAAGTGGTATTTATTTTCTTTATGCTTTTTTCAAAATTGTTTCAATGTAATTTATGTTATTTTTAACAGTAAAATGTTAGACAATACAACTAGTAAAGGATATCTAATACTTGTATTAACAGTGCTTAGACGAGAGAGTTGATGTAAGATTAGATAGGGACATATTTCAGGTGGAATAACTTTACTTTCTAGTTTTCTCAATGGGATAGCACTTTTTATTTGACTGAGATATCCATAGATAAAAAGGATAATCAGATCACTTGGACATACTCTGAAGCCACAATTTTTCCTAAATATTCAACTCCAAAGTAGTATGGATTAAAAAATAAATAACCAACAGCAATCTCTTTATGGCCATAATCTAGCTATAATACAATATATATGTACTCAATAATAAAACAATAATAAGCCAGAGATGGCAATAGATTCCTGGAACCCTAGGAATAGATTTGGGAAGCAGAAGCTAGAAGATTGTACATTCAAAGACAGTCTGGGCTATATGTTGAGTTCCATTTCAGCTTGGCCAAAAAAAAAAAAAAAAAAAAAAAAGTGAGACTGTCTTAACAATAAATACATAAATGGATGAATAAATAATAAATAAGCAAATAAGCAAGCAAGCAAACTGGGCATGCTTACTGTCCCAACACATTAGAAGCAGATGCAGGGGAATTAGACATTCAAGGCTATCCTCGAGTATATAGCAAGTTCGTAGTCAGCCTTAGCTATAAGAGATGCTCAGGGAATCTTATGAAAGAAGGGGGAGATAGAAACACTTGGAGGGTACAGGAGATCCACAAGGAGAGTAAAAGAACCAAAAAATCTGGGCCCAGGGGTCTTTTCTGAAACTGATACTCCAACCAAGGACAATTCATGGATATAACCTTGAACCCTGCTCAGATATAGCCCATGGGTTCCTTAGTAAGGGAAACAGGGACTGTCTCTGACATGAACTCAGTGGCAGGCTCTTTGACCACCCCCTTCCGAGGGAGGAGCAGCCTTGCCAGGCCACTGAGGAGGACATTGCAGCCAGTCCTGAAGATACCTGATAAGCTAGTGTCAGATGGAAAAGGAAAAAGACCTCCCTTCTCAGTGGACTGGTGAGGGGAATGGGAAGAGAAGAGGGAGGGAGAATGGGATTGGGAGGGAAAGAGGGAGGGGGCTACAGCTGGGATACAAAGTGAATAAGTTGTAATAAATAATAAATTAAATTAAATTAAAAATAATGAGCTTTAGAAAAAAAGGAAAAGAACAAGCAATAAAATAGTAAAAATTATTAAGTAATATTAACACAAAAGTTCTACATATTTTCCCTTTGGGTCAGTATAAATTACCCAAGACCCTCTCTTTTCTTTACTAAATATGAGATTTGATATAATATATATCAAAATATTTAAAATATATTTCTGTTTTTGAGCCAAAAACTGAACTCATAGGAACCCGCCCTGCAGATTCTTATCAAATTTTATGGCTAAAGTGCTTTCTGAAGAATTGTTTATAATGACTAAATGTAGAAACACTATATAGGCTTTCCAACAGAAGGTAGGTTATGTAAACTGCAGTCCATCCAAAGACTGTGTATAATATCAGCATATGAGAATCACAAGGGTTGCTCTCTTATGTGTGCTAGATAATACTATATCACTGAGCTACCTCAACCTCCACCTCAACATTTTAAAGTATTGCAGTCAGAAGATAGTGATAACACGGTAGAGTGCCATATGCTTGCAGATCCACAGGGAGAAGCTATGGTACTTTCAACTGCCATTTGACTCAGTCCTTTTCTTAAAAATGAAATCAGTAGAGGGTTATTTGGAAGAAGCGATGAGGACTGAAGGAAGATGGGAGGCTAGCTCTGCTGAATCATGCTGTTTAACCTAGACACAAGAGGAAAACCATGGAAAAACAATAATCCTCTGATTGATGCCCATGGTACCTTTGATTTTTTTTTCATATCAACTACTGTTCCTTCTTGATTTTTTTTCATATCATCTACTGTTCATGTCACCAGTATGGAACACGTTCACTGGATAGTGAAATTTAATTTTTGAAGCCAAATTACATTAACATACCTGTATAGAGGTGATTTAAAAACTACCCATGCACAAAATTGAAAGAGCCTGCAGTACAAATGCACATAGTACACTGGGTAAAGTCGGAAGCTGTATTTCAGTGGAGCTTTAGGGAAATCATGAGGCTACCAGACAAGGCAACTCAGAGGTAAAGATAACTTGACCTTTTCTTTAGTGACTGGGCCAAGTCTGGAAAGGAGACATGAAGAAAAGCAGATAGTAGATTAAGGAGAATGATGCAATTTCTGTTTTCAAACAGGAGCTTATTTTGAGTATTACACATATCCTATTTATAGCTAATATAGCTTGACATATCTGAGTTCAGACCAAAGTCATTTCATTCGTTCCTCTGTGTGAAAAGGTAGTCTTTTTTTTTTTTTCAGGCTCTCCTCAAAAATGGAATTGATAATATTTCAGCAGGTGTTATGAGCTGATTTGACTATCAAGTGAAATCACAGAACACAATCACTTAAAACATCTTAGAAACTTGAGGAATGGCCTTCTTCCAAATACACAATTAGGCTATGTCATGGGATTTCAGTATGGTGCGTACATATTAGTCATCTTCTCTTTTACCTCAGTGGGCCTTCCCTGAAGCATTGATCAGTACAGTGAATGTGAAACCTCTAGGTATCTCTAAGAGTCCCACAAGTACATGGCCTTGGAACTCTACAAAGCAACTTTATCCCATCTTTCCTGTGTCACCTCAAAATTATCAGTGGTTTGACAAGTGACACATCTCCATTATTGAGTTGAAAATAATTTTGGCCCCTAAACACTCACCACAGAGTAGTAATTCTTGGTAAGTGGAGCAGCATCAAATCCTTTGACAGCCTTAGGAGACAGAGGTCTCTCTGTGAAAAAGACATTTAAATAACGTTAATATCACAAAAGCCCATGGTGGAAATTTGATAGTCTAGAACAACTGATGTACTATAAAGAGTCGACATGAAAAGATTGGGGAAATGTACCTTCCTAAGTAAGTGGGAATATCATTGAACTGCAGAGGGTCAAAGTTCAATCTTCTTGTGCAGACTCCTCAAGGTCCAAGGGAGGAACAGATAAAAAGAGCTAATACAGAGCTAAACAATTGCAGAACCAGGAAAAGAGTGTCATTCTCACTTTAGGTTTATTTATGGAAGTCAGGGTGTGCGGTTAATTTATTCAAAACAAGTATCTAAAACCAAAGTAATAGAAAATGTATTTGTAACTTTCAAATTTACACACAAATAGAAAAGAATACCAGCCATGCTTATCTTGGGGTTGCCTATTAGGCCAAAAATAAAATAATCAGAAGCTATAAATCACTGAAAACTTCTGTAAAATTCTCCTCTTTCTCTGTTTTCTGTATTATTTTAATATTATTGCATTGAATTAGAAAATGCTGCCTTTATTTTACGAAGTTAATCTTTCCCATTAAGTCATAATTATGGGATATCCTAACCATTCTTCCATTTACAATTAAAAAAAAAAACAAGACACTCATATTTTTCTTTGTGAGATAGGGTTTTGCCATGTAATCCAAACTATCCTTGAACTCCTGATCCTCCTGCTTCAGCTTCCCAAGTGCCAGAATTATAAGTGTACACTACCACACCTGGCTATAAATGTTTAGTAGTATCACTGCATAGTATCTATCCAGCCCATGATGTCTCCTTTCCTTCATTTTGCTTTGTATTTCATTATCTTCCTATATTATACACTGCTTTAAAACCTTTCTGAAGTTGGAATACACATGACCAAGTAAGCATATGTCATCACACATTAATATTTCTTTTAGAAATAGTATTTTTCAAGTTATGAATCTTTTATAGGCTAACCCTAAAATTTTTAAATATAGAAACAAATAAATCCCAATGATTTTTGATTACACAAAGCTAAGCATCATTCAGAGTAACAATGTTTTTTCACTCATTTTTTCACACCTTTCTTTCTATAGTTTTGTAATTCTATTACAATATTGTTTCACGAACATTTCCCATATAATCTAACTATAATCTAATAATAATCTATAATCTAATTTTAACTCTAATTATATTAAAATATTCCTAATATTTATTTGGGACTAAGTGGAATTAAAGACATTTTATTTATCCTTACAACACCCTGGAAAAATGGAGATTATCATGTTTCACCAAGGAGATAGAATCCTAAGCCAGAGATGTTGTATCTTTTACCTAAAATCACGCAGAGAGGAAATGGCAGAACCAAGACCAAAACTGAGGCATGGCTTCGTAAGGAGGCTCTGCTCCAAATCAACAGGATTCCCAGAGACAGAGAGCTACTAAAAAATTTGGTGAATAGCACCGGGCAGAAACTGATGCAGGACTTCAGTTATAGCTGGGATAGCTACAGAAGGACTTGACCTGACTTCAGAGGACTGCAGAAAAGGATGCAGAGCAATTTCTAGGCAGGGAGAAAGAAAGAATACACATAATGCAGTATTCAGGGGAGTTGTGTACCTGTAAAAGTGAATCATCCAGCTGGGCCATGCTCAAAAGCTTAAAAAACAGCAAAGACAGTATTCATCACGAGGCTCACAAGGACCTGTAACTGCAGTTCAAGGAGGACCTGCTGCCTCTGGCCTCTCTGCAGGTGCCAGCACTCATAGAAACCCTCACTCAGGAACATGTGCATATATGCAAGAATTTTTAAAGACTTTATGGGGGACAAAACTGAGCAATATAAAAACCACTCCACCTGTTACTTGAGATTGTAAATGACAGCCAGGACCTGAACCCAAGGACTGTACTATTGTACTCACTGTTTTTTCTTAGACATGTTTAAAATCCAAACATCTTTTGAAGGAAAAAAGAACAGTCTGAGCTATAAGTGAGACCCTGCTGGGAGGTAATGAAAGGAGAAGAGAAATAGAAAAGGAAAGGAAAAAGGGAAAATGAGAGCAATAGAGAAGAGAAAGACAGGAGAAGAGGAGGAAGAGGAAGATGAAATAAGAATAGGAGGACAACAACAAAAAATAAGAAGACGAAGAAGGAGAACAACAAGTACTACAAGTAGTAGTAGTATCAGAAGCAGAAACAATCAGGAGAGAGAAGAGAATTAAATGAGCAATTATCAAAATTTTTATCAGGCACATTTTCTACAACTTGTAAAGAGATTTTAATTATAAGTTAAGTGTTTTGTTCAATTATTATTTAAACTGATCTTAATGAAAATAAAACTATTGAGTTTGTTGTGGTGTGTCACACTTATAATCCTAGTCCTAACGAGGCTGAGTAGGATTGTCATAATGTTTAGGCTAGCTAAAGATACTTTCAGAGTTTCAGGTCAACTGAGCTACATAGTAAGATGGTCTCCAAAAATAAAAAATAAAAATAAAAATAAACCACTTTTTAAGTATACAAGCAAGGTCTAGAGCCACAACACATGGAACATGCCTCATTTCCTTTGTTCTCAGAAACTAAGAAAGGTCAAGTCTGGTTAGTACGGGGATAAACGATAACAACAAGATGTGGTCACCAATCAGAAGCAAGGCCAAGAAAAGTGCACTCCACGAATGGAGTACCTGCTAAGACACAACCAAGGGCAGGAAAGTCTGAAGGAATGCATGATGTGATTGAAACACAATGTTAACTATGCAAAGTAGAATGAAGGAGAATCATAAACAAGAGAACTGGATGCTTTAGAGATTCCTTGATGACTAGGTTGACTGAATGCAACAGAAAAAGAGTTAGTGCTTTGAAAACATGAGAGGGTAAGGGCAGGAGACATCATAGTGCATTACAAACATGTGAAGTTGTCAAAGGGCAAATTTAATAAAAGCTTTACATTGCTTTTCAAAAAAAATCAGTGAAATCATCAAAGCTCTAATAACACTGTGAGAGGAGTGACACAGAGAAAGAGAACAAATTACCACTATCAGAGGCTATGAGATGACTCAGTGTGTTAAGGGCCCTTTCCACTAAGGCTGACCACCTTAGAGAGAGCTGACTCATAAACTCTTTCCTTTTGCCTCTGCTTATACACACACAGAGAGAGAGAGAGAGAGAGAGAGAGAGACAGAGACAGAGACAGAGACAGAGAGAAAGACACAGAGAGACAGAGACTAAATTTATTTTATTTTAAAATAAATTACCAGCCTAGTGGTGGTGGCTTATGCCTTTAATCCCAACACTTGGGAGACAGAGGCAGGCAGATCTCTGAGTCCAAGGTCAGCCTGGCCTACAGAGCTAGTTCCAGGACAGCCAGGGTTACAAAGAGAAAAATCTCTCTTGAAAAACTACTACTACTACTACTGATGATAATAATAATAATAATAATGAATCACCAACAACAAGGATGAAACAAGAGATTTTACTCCAGATTCTGGAAAATAGGGAATATTTTTATTTATTTTTGAGATGGGGTCTCATACATGCCAGGTTGGCCTCTAACTGACTACATTGCCAAGGATGACTTTCAACTCCTGATTCTCCTACATACATCTCTGGAGTGCTGGGACTTCAGGTGTTTATCCACAATAGTTTATTCTTGCTAGAGATTGAACCCAGGACTTCCTACATACTAGGCAAGCATTCTACCACCTGAGCTACATCCCCCGGTCCAGTTTCTGGTGTTTTGTTCTTTTGCTTTGCACTCCACTGGCTCCAATTCTCACCCTATGAAGTTCTCTCTAAAATCCACACTCAGAAACTTTCAGATAATAAATATGTTCAGCTTCCGAGGGCTAGTTCAAAGTGACCTAATTAGAAGCATGAAAGCATAGACATTTGGGTAGCATTTCTAAGGCAATGAAAAAGCAAAGCTGATCAGTTCCATTCAATTGATGACAAAGAATCAGTAAACAGTTTTTTAAAATGTGGATTATGGCACACCTGTGGGACATGCCTGTAATCCCAGCACTCAGGGAGGTAGAGGCAGGTGGCTCTCTGTGAGTTCAAGGTTAGCCTGGTCTACAAAGCAAGTCCAGGACAGCCAAAGCTACACAGGGAAACCCTGTCTTGAAACAAAAACCATGGCTTGTTCCATGTGAAATAACAATGCTACACATGTGTGGTAATAAGAAACACTCTGATCCTACTGTAAAGACCCCTTTCCAATTCACTTTGCCGTCTTTGTTTTTGTTGTTGTTGAAATTTCTATTGCCTGTTTCAGGTGATGAAAACAAATCCAGTGATTTGTTTTTCTGGACATGAAGCTTGCATGTGAAACAGCTGGGGAATTAAAACAGTAAGTCTAAATCTAAAGCTCAAGCCTATCTTTGGTTTATAATGATGAAGAAGAGTAGTTTCCTAAGCTGCCTTAGTACAAACGTAGTTAAGCATGTGCCTAATCATCCCCTCAACTGACTGAATGATTCCATAACAGTACCAGTTGGAGGAAATAAAATTTGCATAAAATCTCTTTTTCTACTCATGCTTGTTTCAACATTTTCCTGGCATGGAAAATAAAAAGCTGTCTCTCCTTGTTTCTTTCTTTTGCTTTTTTCTTCATTTTCCTTTCTTCCTTCCATGTTTGTTTATAAGAGAAGATTTTTGCCAGCAAACACGGCTGGGCTGCTAGCTCATGATCATCCTCCATCTTCAGCACCGTGAGCGTTGGGATCACGGGTGTAATACACAATGCCTGTCTTGGGAAAGGGTGAATGAAAAATCCTAACTAAAAAGCCTTAGCTTTTAGGGCCAGTAAGATGGCTCAGAGGATAAAGATGTTTGCCATCAAGCCTCATGGCCTCAGTTTGAGGCCCAGGTGGAGAGAGGGAACTGGCTCCCTCCCACAGAACCAATTCCAGAAGAACCAGCAGAATTAATGCCTACAAGCTGTTCTCTGACTGCCACACCCATGTTGTGGTATGATCACATCCATTTGTTTACATACACATCAGTGAATGAAT